AAACGTTGTACATTTGCTGTTATATTAAAGTTTTCTTCATTACCCATTCAAGCCGTCTCCAGCCATTATTATGTGTTAATATATACTCTTAACACTCATTGAAACTCATCTTACTTTTTAAGAATCTACCTTTTGTTGTTATCAGTTTAATACATTTATCACAGTTAAGGTTTAAAAGATAATGTTCTAAATACCGCATTAACCAAGTCCATCAAGCTGATTAATAATGTTCACCTCCCATCATAAAAATACTACCAGCATCGTCTATGTTCACATATAAAATATTTCCATTCAATCATCCCTAATTCCTCCATATAAACTATTAATGCATACATAAATGTAACTGTAAGTTAAAAACAATGTTGACAAAACAAGAATGTTAATTATAAGTGTATTAGTTGTTTAAAACTTTTTTTAATACAGTCCTTCAATCCCTTCATGTAAATTAGTCAAGGAATGTTACGACACCTTTCGTGACTTTTGAAAAGCAGTTGATAGAGAAACTTGTTCTCTCTTTGGTTTCACTAAACCTACCTCATTATCAGATTCAAAAAGAATTTGATCATATTCGCTTAAGGCAACAAGAAAGATTATAGATGTAACATTTTCAAAGCAATGGATCCATTTTCTTCTTTCAGATCTTTGACCACCGACATCAACCATTCTATAAAAATTTAATATTGCACTTTATATTAGAAATATGAATTACCATTACAAAGAGTTTTGTTGTACAAAATCAATGTGAGGAAACATTTTTTATATTTTAAGTCTACAGAAAAACAAGGAAATCAAAACCTTAACGAAGAGCCCAATTGAAAATTAAATCTCATCATTGAGGGTACTTGTTTAACACTATAACAAAAAAAAACAAACAGAATTACGTTTTTTTTTTTTCCCTTATCAATTGAACTAGAATTTTTCTATATCAAAATTATTTTTTCTCCATTTGCTTTAAATACTTTTAAAAAACTAGTCCAATCAAGACAAAGACATTGTATTTCCATATTTATCTTCAGACTAATAAAGCAGTTGTTACTGTTAAAACATTATTTGGAATACTACAAAGAATATAAGTATTGTAAATACAGTCTTGGAAGGATAGTATTGTATATCAAAAATAAATAAACTGTTGATTTCACACACTATACACAAACCTTCATAAGGAAAAGTTTGAAAAATACTTGAAGTATTATGTTTTATATTGCACAAGAATATACATTGAGTGCACACTCATCAACCAATCAGAAAATTTACACTTTTCCTTATTGATATATATATATATTATTATTATAATGTAGCTTGAGATGTATACGTCCAAAACTCAGATCTCGGAAACTACCTCACCGATTATTAACAATCATAACTGGGTAATAGTTTTATAATTAGACAATATTTTGAAATTTCCACAAAAATGATGTGTTTCAAATTTAACCAATAAAAATACAAAAAAGGAGTAAGTTTCAAATATAAAACAATCAAAAAACAAACTTAAAAAAATTATTTGTTTTTCTTTAGTGAAAATCTCATGAGTGTTGCAAAAAAAAAACAAGTCACTTTCATTGAAAATTGTGTTTACAAAGAAATACTTCAATCAAATCTACTCTGTGATGTAATGCTGTGATGATAACTCATTTTTAAACTAAAATTTCAATAAAATAATTTTTCTCATGGATGGTGAACATTATAATGTCAAGTATGAATACATTGCTCTAGAACTGTCAGACAATTACAGATAAGACAGCAGGCCGCCAATAGCCTTCTGCAGGAACTAGCAGTTATACCTGTCCGAAGGATGGGTGTTTCTGCTAGTCTGTATAATGAGTTTTCTTCAGTTCTATTAATTCTGCAAATTAACAGTTTTATTTGAACATAACATAATGTTTAGGGACAACAAAAGACCTATTAAAGAAAAAAATAGAATAAGTAAACCT